GATTTTCACTGCGTCGTTCTTGTTTTTTTATTTTTATTTAGGTTTCTTTATATCAAAATATAGAGGAATAGGGAGACGCTAAAATCATTGTATCCCTAAGGGCTTTTGTTAGTACGATAGAATGTTAAAGGTTAAAGGAATTATTTTGTGAACAATGCGTCATCAAGTGCGTACATGATTTATCGACATTTTGTTGTACGAGCGAAAATGTGTCCCAAGAGAATGTGGTAGAACTAGCTGTGTTAGTCAACAACATAACAAAACTGTGCAATTTGACATATGATATGATCAACAGTAAAGGGTCATAATGTAGAAAGGAGGCTGCACATGCCTAAAAAAAACGTTTGTTTTTGTTTGTTTATTAACTCAGATATCTAATTCGACTGAGGTAAATTGTGGCACAGTGAAAACATTAGACCTAACAAGCAATAAGAAACAAGAAAATGATGTATGAAGAAAATATCTTCATTATTATTTATTATAATTAATAATGGGTAAAAATGTTAGCAAAATTATTTCGCGGTTATTGTTTGTGCTTTGCTTTAAGAGAATTTTTTTTTAACATTGCCACTATTTGAATGACACCAACAAATAATGGCTTATCAGATTTGACTGTTCAAGTTCAATTCAAAGACATATTTTTCCAAATAACTCGAGTTCATTTTTATCCGAGATGGAATTTTAGTTTTGGCGATAATGAAAATAAATAATTACATGGTCTGAAGTTTGATTGAATTATTCAATTCCGCACTTGAGAAAAATGTCACACTACAACAAGATGATCAGCAAAAAAACCCGAAGCATCAAAAGAGAGTCCCAGGGTTTTGCAATTAATTCAGAATGGATTTTGTTTTTATTTTCGTTTGCGATAAACGCTTCTGGATTCAGACACTACTCGCACGCAGTGGCATACAAAGGGAACTGGTAAAATGGTAGACCTCACGGACGAGGTTGGATGATGTGTAAAAATAACGATCCAGACGCGTGTGGATACGGCGAATCAGCGTGGAACGTACACTCCTACGATGGTAGAATTTTAGGATTTATTATGTGTGGCCAATGTTTCGGCCTCCCGCTGCGAGCTGATGATCTATTGCGGCTCACCCTCAAGTATTCACTTTCCCATTAGGTTCAGCTTCCGTACGAAGTTCACTATACTGTGAGCCTCAAGACTGAGGATTTCGGCATCTAGTTTTAATTACCTCATTCTTCCCACTGGAGGGCAATTGCCTTTTATTCATCCTATATGCAGAACGATTAGGAAGTCAATATTTGATCTGATCATTGCTAGTTGGGTGGCGGTTGTACGTCTTGTATTGTATTTAAATCAGCTAAAGCTGGTAATCGCCGCCAGTATGCTCTGCTCTCAAACTTTAATTGAATTTCTTGTCTCTTGGCTTGATCCGCTGTGGACCTATTGGTGGTGTCTATGCTCTTCTCGTTGCTAGGAGATTGATCTTTTAATTACCTTCCAGTCCACTGTGTCCTGGTATTCCGGTCAGTATTACCTTATTTCAGCACCCTAACACGGTTAGGGTTTGCTAACGGTTTTTTAAAGTTTTAGAGGCCCTATGCGGTATTTTTAGCGCCTTCAGCGCCGCCTGACTGTTCGAAAATATATTAATTCTTTTTCACGCCAGTTCCGCTTGGAATATGTTGGAATATATATCACGCCCGACAACCCTGTGGAATTGCAGGATTGATAGAATAAAGTATCATGAATCAGTCTGTAGGTACATACTATCTCAACTAGAACGAACACACAAAACCAGTAAATATAGAAAGAGGTGTTAAACAAGGCGACACACACCTAAACTCTTCACCTTGGTCCTAGAAGATATATTCAAAAAACTGAACTGGTCGAACAAAGGCGTAAATATCAACGATTCGCCGACTACGTAATTCAAATAGCTAATAAAGTAAGGGAACTGCAAGAAATGCTAACAGAGTTGCGCGTCGAGTCCGACGAGGTTGGTCTGACGGTGAACATTGACCAGAAAATACAACAAGGAAATAGAAAGTCATCGGCCATGGTCATGGGCCAAAAAATCCTTTTTTAATAGAGATATCCAAACGGAAGAAATAAAAAGAAGGCAAAAACTAGCTTGGGAAGCCTTTGGAAAACTAAGCTATATACTGCAGAACCAACAAATTCAACTACATCTATATAAGAACTGAAGTTTGTGACGAATGTATCTTGCCAATAATAATAGAGATATCCAAACGGAAGGAATAAAAAGAAGGCCAACTTTAGCTTGGGCCTTCGGAAAACTAAGCTATATACTGCAGAACCAATAAAATCAACCAGATCTAAGAACTAAAGTTTGTGCCGCATGCATCTTACCAATACTTACATATGCAGCACAAACATGGATCATCACAGAGAAGAACATGAACATTCTAACAGTCACGCAACATGCCATGGAAAGGGAAATGCTGGAAATATCTCTTAAAAATAAGAGGACGAATACATGGATAAGAAAGACAAAGAACAATGGTTACCGGTGTAGTGCACAAAGCCCTAAGACTGAAATGGGTGTACATACATGACATGTTGCCAAGGGAGAAAATCACAAATGGCAAAAATCAGACCTGATTTGAAGACCATATGAATTTCGAAGTCGCAATTCGTAATCGCCGGCCAGAATTGGATACAACCAGCCTATAGCAGAAGAAAACGGAAAAAGGATCTTGAAGAGGCGTATGTTGAAAAGTGAACATACAAAACGCTAAAAAACAAGAAAAAAAGTAACAAGGTGCAAAAATCTTAGATGCTTATTAGGTTGGACGGTTTCCAATTAATTTTTATAACTGCTACAACTCACCCGATGTAATTTTATAATATATCTATCCATTCCGAATATCGGTTAATGATGATCGGAATTTATTACTCTAGACTTATGATTGGACATTACACTCTGAGCTCTCGCAGCAGCCAGGATTTTTGATAAGTTTAAATACGTATAAGAACGAAAAGAATGAAATGAGTAACTTTAAATAGGTATGAATAATTTTTTTGTTACATTTTATGCATGAATTATTTGAAAATGTCAAATTTAACTAAACCTTAGTTAATAACAGAGTTAAAACACAGACAAACCACAATATATATATATATATATATATATATATATATATATATATATATATATATATATATATATATATATATATATATATATATATATATATATATATATATATATATATATATATATATATATATATATATATATATATATATTCTTTTAAATGGTTTAAATGGTTCGTGTAGTATGGGCCGAGAGTCAATGGTTTTATGGATTCATTCGACCTTGACGGAAAAGCTTACCGGTTTCAAATAAAATTTTATCCGAAATGGCGGATCCGTGGGAAACGAAACTGACGTGGTAAAGTGACGCTTCCCGCACGCTAGATCGATGTGTAATCAGGCATTTTATAGACTCTCTTGCGTCATTTTCCACAAACTACACCGCACAAAAAATGATAACGGAGCTACTAATAACACTTTGTTGTCGCTTTTACAGGTAGAATGAACTGCTTGACGAAGTTCAACGGGCACGTTTGTTTACGTTGAGCAACGCCACCATCGGAACATAAATTTGAGGAATCGAGAAATACTTGTTTAGATGTCCACTGTAGTTACTTTTTGGTTGCAGGTAAAAGTTTGTGAAGAAATTTGTTTGGTTGGACACAAATAAGTGTTTGTGAATCAATCAAAGTTTATTTAGGATTATCAACAATATTAAACTAAGTGACGAAATTTGGGTACACAACTAAAAAATAAAGCACCCAAATCTCCAATGAATTGTAAAAGTCAGCCTTTTGTAGTTATAAATGAGATTTGTAGATCGACCGAATATATTTTTTTATATGCTTCATTCACGAGAAAAAAAAGGATAAAAGGTTTCTTTTTAGGTAAAATAAAAAAATTGGCGTTTTTTTTTAAATAAAAATTGGAACATGAATACAGGTGAGATGCTCCTGAAATTAGGTAAATAGTTTTACCTTCGAATAAAATCAATATACAATTATATTACGACATAACAGGGTTATTGAATGAAGATTAAGGGTAATAATTGTGGTTCGATTTTAAACCTTTTGATGGAGCATTTATATGAATCATCCGGCCTCCCCTCGAGGCTGGATGAGCAAGCAAAGCAAATTGAGTAGCGGCGTTTGTTTTTATCGATGTTCCGAATTCCAGGAAAGTAGGGAAAAGGTTCGGTGCAAAGGCCGAAGCAGGACAGTGAAGTGATTCATCGCAATTGCGAGGCTCCATTGCGTTATTAGTTGTCGAGTAAACCCACGTCAAATTTCGAAATTTTTTTAGTAGGTTTTTTTGTTAGATAGTTGGAAGTAAAGATTTATAATTCAGCTTCGCCAAAATTATTCGCTTCTTTAAAAAATTTATTAACAGTCGTGAAAGAATAGTTTCGTGCTTTCTTATTAACATGGACAACAAAAAGTATATCTCAATATTATAATCATTTTTTTGCACAATGAACCGATATTTAGGTAATAGTTTGAACATATATCATTTTTGTTTATATTTTTAAATGAAATATTTTCCAACATTGGATTTAAAAAACTTACCTAACCAGGTCATGAATAAAATGAAATACCTTTTTTTCTTTTAATGTCAATGATAAATAGATGGTTCATACTTCTCAACCACAAACGTTGCTACATCTCAGAATGCGATGATCAAAAAATAACAAGTATAAACAAAGGAAATATATTTTGAAATTTACATAAATGCATCTACAATAGTCTATTTTTTCACTGCCCTGTTTACAAAAAAAAAATCTTTATATTCATTTTAATCATTGTCACTGCTAAAAGCCCAAACAGCCACCTGGGTCGATAGATTTACATCTAGGGAAATATACACTGCAATTGAACATAATTATCCATAAAGATTTTTTTTCTCTTCAAATGAAAACACAAATTGTTGCATGTTTTACCCAGGGCAATTAAAAGAAATAAGAGACTGATCATTAGAATCACAGTGTATATTAGCGCAACATATTTATATTTTATTACAATTATTAACATACAGTTAATCTATGCTTTAGGTTTAATTGCAACTGGATATTGTTTCATTTGAAGTATAATTGAACGCATACGCGAAACATCTTTACTTCCAGGCTTAGTCTTCGCATTGAAATCGCACAATTTTGCTATTCTCTCCCACTCAGTACCAGGTTGGATATCGTTGTCCTCTGCCACAAACTGCTTTTCAGCACTCCTATTTAAATATAAATTCCTGTTATTCTAATTTCAACGGGACAAAGGTGGGACAGAATTACCCTTTAAATCGCACAGACACAAAAACTTAAAACTAAATACTCCCAATTTTTTCAATCGACATCTCTCGCCAACACTCAATAAAGAGTCATAACTAAATTTGTAAAAAAATAAATAAAAAACAACAGTTTAGCGGATTTTTTTATGTTTAATTGTGTTCATATTGAGATTAAATTAATAAAGTTTCAACAAAGCCCACATGAAAAATAAGAAACATTCATCAATTGTCTGAGCATATTGATACACTTAAAATTCAGTAAGTAAAGTATATAAGTAAGCATTTCTTACCCTGAAAAAGCAACCCCAAATATTAATAATTATTGAAAATCAATAGGACCTCTACCGACAGGGGAAAGCCCATGTAAATTACTGTGTGTGTGTGTGTGTGTGTGTGTGTGATAGGACCCCAATGCACAAATTTTATGTCAATCGTAAAACGTTTCTAAGATCACCAGCAAATTACATATTCTATACAAAAGCATGCTTATATTGATTTGTGAGGAACTTACTTTGCAGCATCTCTGTTAATTGCATTAAAAAAAAAATTAGTAAGAGAAGAATATTAGTAAAACAGCAGCAGTATATACAGTCGAACTTCGATAACTCGAATTTTTGATAAGTCGAACCAAATTGGTTGACAATAGCGTCAAAAGTAGGAAATGCGTGTTAGTTTGTCTTGATTACTCGAATATCTTGATAACTCGAACGAAAGAAACATTTGGTGCCAACTTCGATAAGTCGAATTTTCTCGGGGAACCCCCTAATTACGACCGATCTTAACCTGTCTTTTTAACGTATCTAAGCAAGCAGTTTAGTTTCTGTGCTTGCTACGTTCACTTGTATGAATTAGTAGTTAATACTAAGTGAAAAATACTGTCCCTATTCAATTTACACATTATATTAAAGACATTTTTGGATTTTTGCATTTGTTGATATGCCATCAAAATGTACTTTAAAATCTTTGTCTGTTGATCAAAAATCCAAGGTTATAAAAGAAGTGGAAAGTGGCTCAAAAAATAAAGATGTAGCTGTGAAGTATGGCATTTCGGCAAGTACAGTGTCTACAATTTTGAAAAATAAACATTCAGTCATTACACTAATGGATTGTGTTGACGACGTAACTACCGCATGGAAATCGACGTTAAGCCTGAAACAATTTCCAATTGTTTTAAAAAAGCAGGTTTTGGTCAGTATTCTGAATGGGAAGAAGATGAGATTCCCTTGATTTTCCTAAGTGAACGCCTGAAAGAAAAGAGTGAAGACGAAATCCAAATAGAAATCGAGTTTAAAGCTTGGACAAACATTAGAGTTTCCTACTGATGAAGATATTATCGAGTCCTGCAGATCCGAACTGGTACAGTTAAACATCGAAGATGACTGCGAAAGTGACACGATGGAGGAGGAATTGGAAGATGATTCTCAGCAATCACCTTCAAATGAATTGGTTGAAAATTCGTTGATTGTCTTGCGTTCCTATTTGAAAACCAGTGAATACACAACCGATTCCCTCTATGATTGTTTAAATAAAATTGAAGCTTTTGTTGAAAACCAAAATAAGAAATCCAGTCGTCAGTCACAAATAACTAACTTTTTTCCAGTGAAAGAGTAAACTTTAATATATACATACATATGTATGTTATGTGCATACATACTATGTTTGTATATACTGGGTACATATACAATACATTTGTATGTACATATATTATGTAAGTACATACATACATATGTACTACTATTTCATAATTTTCGTTTTTTGTTCAAAAACCATAGATATTAGGGCATTTATGTAACGTATAACCCATTTTTAAAAATGAATGAATAAATGTTCATTCACAAAAAAGTACATGCATTTGTAGTTTTTATTGATAACTCGAAATTTTCATGTGTCAAATCGCAGTTCAACTTATCGAAGTTCCACTGTATATAGAAAAAATTTTACAAGCAAGAGGATATCTCCAGAAACTTTACCTATTCGCAGCTTTAGTTTTGGCAATTGTTTCCTCGTGATTCTTGTACCAATCTTCTAACTCCTTTTTCGCAATTTGCCTTAATTCTTCCCGTTTTCGATCTTCCTCCCTATCTGATATAATACGCTAGTTACTTATATATTATCTAATGAATACACTGCGCCTACGACTGATTATGCAGCGAGAACGCGCGTAACAAATTCCGGCGATACAGGGTGCCCCAAAAATAAGTTACATCCACCACAAAATTCATTTTTTTCAAATGGTAAATTATTTTTGAATTCTAAATATCAAATGTCATGTATCACCTGCGACCCGTTCTCGCAAAATTTCTAGACGACTGTCGAGTGTTAAAACAGTTATTTGTAATTTAAAATACAAAACAATAAATATACCTTTCTCTTCCAATCGTTTAACCTGATCTTCCCTCCATTTCTTTATTTTTTCGGGTTCTTCTCTAGGTTCACGTGTTAAGGATGTTGGCGGGGAAGGGGGAGCTTGAAACAAAAAATATGTGGTATATATTCTTCACTGTTCATTTAGTAGAAATTTCTCGATATTCGTTAAAAAAATGATTTGCAAATATTTCGTTAAACACTATCGATAAAATAACAAATAGATCTCTTTTAACAATAGCGATATGGTTTGAAAGAAACGTATTTTTTAAATATGACAACTTTACAATGAATATTGGCAATGACATTTTTACTATAGGGTGTTTTACACAAATATCATGTTCCCTCGATAATATTAAAGGCAAGATTCTGTACATAGTTTAAATTTTATTTTTAAAAGTACCAATATATTTTCGAAATAAATTTCGACAAGTTAACAAACCAATGTTATTGACTAAGTGTGATGGACATTTCACGTAACGTTAAATAAATGTATATAAAAAATCAATAACCATAACCTTTTTTTCAAATACTTTCTTGCCACCGCTGTTTGGGATATACTAAACAAATATAAATAAAAATCACGTCATTACAAATATATATAATTCTGACTACTACATCTGGTTTTGTTTATTGTTGGTGGAAAAAGTGACTTTTTAAAAGTAAAAAGGTGGTTTCTGGATATTGCTATTCCAAAGACTGATAGTAAAAATGCAGTACTGTGGAGTTTCCAATGAACTTGCTAGTTTAAATTTCAAAATATAATTTCATGCGCGAGTGTACTTTTTTTTCTGGTTTTGTATCAAATTAAATCAAATCAAATATGATTTGAATAATTTATAAAAGTGTGACCCATTCGTTTAATTTCACAATTTACAATACAATTTGAAATTTTTCATATTGATATTTAAGTAACACGGACTTATGCCATTTCTTTTAGTTGGACGCCTGTGTAGTACCTCCCACAAACTAATGGAAAAGGTCTATCTCGATCTGTCCACGCCAAAATTCACTGGACTGATGATCAGTTATATCAAAAAGTTCCTGGCCTAATAATTAAAGTACATACACCAGAACCAAATAGGGACTGACCTTGGAAATTCAGAATCTGATACAAATCACCACAAAATGAGCGACTTCATACCAGGGTAATTAACCTAAACCCTTGCCTAATAGACCATTTACCCTTTTTTGACTAATATATGCAAAGTTGCCAAAGAAATGAAACAATCAAGGAAACTGTAAAAAAGCACCTTAAGAATAAGTAAGTCGACATATTTCACATGCATCCAATGAAACTCCTCCCACTTCACTTCTAGAAAACAAAATAATAAACTTTGGAGAACTAAAAAAAGTTATTTTGCTGTCGCAAGTAAAGTCCAATGGCACACAAAAGCAAAATGGTTGAAAGAATAAACTCCAGCACATTTATATCCAATTTAAAAAATAAAAATTCACAATTCAAAACATCGCACAGCAATAATTTCTACCCTCAGTTGCAAAAAGCAATTATAAATTATGAATATGGGCGCCAAACTTCAAGCCTATTTAGTCTTAAAAATTAATATACCGAGGCCCCAATATTTTGGAGTTTTCATCAAGCATAAATTTAAAACTTACCACCCTTGAGTTTTAAATTTATATTCATAAGCAAATAAAATCAAACATACCGTCATACTGTTCTTTTTTAATATCGAGCAACTCATCTTGGCCAAAATTGTGTTTTTCTGCATCAAATCCTTCAACCATTTCAAAGCTGCTGGCAGAATTTGTTGGATCATCTGGATATGTAAGGCAAAAGAAAAACAATCAAGCAAAAAGAATCAATAAAAGGTAGGCTTCAATATCATACACAGTTGAGGAACAATAATTAACCGTGCAGGTACGCAGGCCAACACAGAATGTATCACTAAATTTTTTTTTTTAAATTACATACATACGCCCATTAAAATTTTGTCTACCTACCACCATTGACTAAAGAGGTCACAGCTATTGCTGCGGGTTTGACTTCGTCTTCTAAACCGGCCAGTTCATCCTGCTCCCTTGCTAAAAACTCTGCGGCAGGATCTGCGTCAATTTGGTCAAAATTTGCTCCGAATCCAGACATTTTAAAAAATTAGTGTTAATGTTCACAAAACAACGACGTTAACCAAACTGTCAAAAAGGGTCATCGAACACCAAAGTTATAAGCTTACAGACAAAAATTATTGGTTGGTTGTTGTGTTCGTGGATCAATTATCTGGAAGGCTGTCATGTTTGATGTACTGCATTCCTCAATCCGAAAATTTGGTAATTAGTTACGCTCTGTAGTTCTGTATCAGCCCAAATTATTACATTAAAGCCTAATTTACAGCATGAAAAAGAAGAAAACTTTGATAAACGCCAATTTAGTCCCAAGTTTGATTTGACACGAGCTTTATGACTCACTGAAGAATTATATATAGAATAGCCATTAGTGTTTAAGAATATTTTTGCAAAACAAAAATCTTTTCATCCAGTGAGTGACCTTTAAAAAAAGTTGGTAACGTTTTCTGTGTTCTGTGTTCAGTTTGGTTTCGTGGATTGGATTAGAGAAAAACGACCCGTTCTGTGGGTCAGGTTGCCTTTAACTCGAAGCAATTTATTTTCAGCAATTTTTTCAACTTCAAAAAACTTTCGTTTTACTTATGATAGTGGCTAGTGACAGAATTTGTAAAACTGTAATCAAGAACACTTCGAAATGGTTAAAGCGAAAAAACAGGAGCGCAAAGGGGCGAAAAGCGACGAAAGGTTAGAAAAGAATATTTAAAATATGTTCGCAAAAACCGACTATTTATCATTTTCGGCTATTTCAGCGATTCAGAGATTGAAATAGATACTCCACAACTTACCGATAAGACCGCTACTAAGCAGAACAAATCCGGCAAGTATGTTTATTTCATATTTTTAAAAAAATGCAGGTTATGTTCAATCACATTTTATTTTACGATTCCTATATTTATTGGATGAATATCGTTTTTAGAGTAAAGGAAGATAGGGATACTGAAGCTACAAAGTCAAAAAAGTCCAAGAGTAAGGGTAAAAAACAAGAAATCAAAGCTGAAGACTCAGAAGATGATACCATTCCCATAGCAAAGGGACAGAAATCCTTTGCCATTTTGCAAATTGAAGACAACGATTTAGAGGATGAACCAATGCCTAACAATGATAGTGATGATGACATAAAAACTGTTGATAAAAGTAAGAAAAAAGCTAATGAATCGAAAACTAAAGAGCAAGGTGGTAAAAAAGGCAAAAAGGGAAGGAAAAGGGCTGATAGTGTTGATGAAATTGAAAAGGCTTTGGCAGAGTTAGAAATGGAATACGCAGGTGGGTGTGTTTTTATCAAAGTAGTACTAATCTTTGAAAATTGGGTTAAGGAAGTAAATATTACAGGAATCAAGAAGGAAGGCCCGGAAATGAAAGAGGAAAGTAGAAAACCAGCAAAAGTTAGTAAGGACAAGAATATTGCAGAAAGTGTAAAACCAGATTATGTAAAAGAAGAATCAGAGGAAATTGGCACAGTCAAAACAGCAGCTCAAAAGAAAAGGGAGAAGAAGGAAAGAGAAAAGCAAACAAAGTTGGCTCAGAAAACTAAACATCAGAACATTGATAAGGAGTCTAGTGCCATCACGGTAGTTCCTAATGAAGAAGTGAAAAACGAGAAAGAAGTTTTGGAAGAGAAAGAAAGCAAAAAGAAGAAAAAAAAGATTAAAGATAAGGAGGATAAAGTGGATGTTGAAAGTGAAGTTACTGAAGTTCATGAAGAGAAAATCAGTAAGAAGAAGAAAGGTGGTAAAGAAAAAGATGAAAAGGAAACCAAAAACAAAAAAGGGCCTGCAAAAAAGACCATTGCTGCAATGCAGGAAGCCCTTAGGAAAATTAAGGAAGAGGAAGAACGTCTCAAACGTGAAGAAGAGGATAGGATAAAACGAGAGGAAGAAGCGGAGAGAGCTAGATTGGAAGCTTTGAAACTGGAACAAGAGCGGAAAGATAAGAAAAAGCAGAAGGAAAAAGAGAGGAAAGAGAGGTTGAAAGCAGAAGGAAAATTGTTGACAGCTAAACAAAAAGCGGACCGCGCGAGAGCCCAAGCACTGATTGATAGTCTTAAGGTAATTCTTTGGTAGGGGTCTTATATAAATTGGTAATTTGACATCTTTTGTAGGCCAAGGGCGTGGAATTACCCGATGTCGGTGAAAGAAAGCCAAGGCTGGGTACCAGGGTCAAACCTAGCAAACAAAAAAAGGAGACCTCAGATGAAGTAAAGTCGGAGGAAAAATCTTCAGAGCAGAGTGATATCGGTGACAAAGCAGACATCATACAACTGAAAGAGGAGACAAAAGGTAACAATTTAAAAGCAGATCTGGGCTTAGTGCACCAGTTCTATTTATAGCAGTGGAAGAAGAGGAAGTAGAGGGCGACGATGTTAAAGACACGTGGGACGCTTCATCTTCTGACAGTGAGTCGGAAGAAACTGAATCTAAAGGAACAGACGCTGCCAAAGTGCAGACTTTCGAGAATGATGAATCTGAAGAAGGTAGTTCCGAGGGCGAGTCGGAGGAGGAGAGCGAGAGCGAGTCGGAAGACGAGGACGACGAGGAAGAATTAAAATCGGCGGTTGAAAGATCGAAGGAAAGGGCGGAGGAAAGAATTATGGTGACGAAGCGGTGAGGTCCGAACCTTCGCGGTTATCAATGGCGGATTGTTTGCGTAGAAACGGAAGGAGGAGGCGGAGCGAAACCGCACCGTCGACAACCTCCGGGCGGCGGTGGTTTGCGTGTTGGGCCACGTGGACACAGGCAAGACCAAGATATTGGATAAGTTGAGGAGGACCAATGTGCAGGACGGGGAGGCGGGGGGCATCACTCAGCAGATCGGTGCCACCAATGTACCAGTTGAGGCTATCAAGGAACAAATCAAGATCGTTAAAGGTGTAAGTGAGAGGGCGTGACCTTTGTCCGCGCGGTGACGCGATTGACGTCGTCATTGATTTCAGGCGAACGAGATGGAATTGAAAGTTCCGGGCCTGCTGATCATTGACACGCCGGGGCATGAGTCGTTTTCGAATCTGCGAAACAGGGGTTCGTCCCTTTGCGATATCGCGATCCTCGTCGTCGACATTATGCACGGCCTCGAGCCGCAGACCATCGAATCGATTAATTTGCTGAAAAATAAAAAGTGCCCCTTTATAGTAGCCCTTAACAAAATTGATAGGTGAGTGATCAGCTCTTTAATTTTTTAGTCTCACTCTTACCCTAGTTAGTGAATAAAAATATATTATACATAACATACATAATAACCTATTTAGATCCTATTTGAGTGGGAGAACACAAAGTGTGAAAATATGTTGGCTGATAGCTTACAGGTGGGATTTGGTGTGCCGCAGGGCACAGTGCTTAATCTGCTGATATTTAACATTTACATTAACTGAATAACTTCTGTCACTAATGAGAGAAATGTGTTTTGTTTTGCTGATGGTACAGCAGTGATTCTGTTGGGTAAATCTTGAAGATTAAAGCAATGGCTAGACCATAGTCTATTGTCCCTAAATATAAACATAACACATTTTGTTACCTAAGACTAAGACTTCATGAATCGCATTGTGAACAAGACCTAGACTGTAAATGTAACAACTTTCTTAAATGAAAAACTTTTACAAAATATCTGGTCATCCTTATTGATGAACTGTTTACTTGAAACAATCAAACTAATGATGTAACTAGCAAAATTAGAAAACTAATAAGAGTCATTAATGAACTATGGATTAGTGGTGTGGGGTAATGTCTATGAGATGCATGTGCTGGGGTTGCAGGTAGCTCAAAAATGGATTATAAAAACAATGTATTTAAAAAAAAAATACCCGACTACCTTACTTTTTGAAGAGAGCAAGCTACTTGCTTTTAAACAACTGTATATCAAATCAGTGATAAGATTTATGTTAAAAAACAACTATTATATAACCAAAATAAATGTGGCTCTACATAACCTCAAACATGTCAGAAACATATACTGTACTGGGCCAAAATAATAATAAATATTGTTGATAATTGTTAAGTTTTGATAATGTGTGCTATAAATATAAATAGTAATGTAACTCGTGAGTTCAATTTTGACGTGAAATCAGGGTTTATATAATAACAGAAATAATTAGTAAATACAGTTTCTTTGTATGTACAATTAAAAACTGTAAATAATGAAATGTAATTGCTGAATGTTTATATTTATAATTAAATGAACAACAATATATATATATATATATATATATATATATATATATATATATATATATATATATATATATATATATATATATATATATATATATATATATATATATATATATATATATATATATATATATATATATATACATATACATATATATATATATATATATATATATATATATATATATATATATATATATATATATATATATATATATAATATTTTAAAATTAAGTACATTGTATATTAGTGGATCTTAAAAGCAAATGTTTTTTCCCTCTTAAACTAGGCAAACTACCAAAACAACTCAAGAGTCTAAAAGGAATTCAAAAATTAAAATTTGAACAAAATCCGACAAAAAATATTTAACATATTGTAAAAAAGTTGTTTCTTTTAATATTAAGACCGCGTGGGGAGGACCTGCTTTTTTTTTATGAGGAATCTCCAGTTGATAGTTGGAGCATGTTTTTTGAAACTTAAAAATAAATATGTGAATCTAAAAACAGATATAGAATTAATTTGTGTCGATGCAATCTGTTAATTTTTATTAATAACCAATTGTGTATTTAATCTCAAAATCTGAAAAAGCGAAATTGAAGGAAATATGTTGTTTGTAAATAACGAAATGTGCAATTAAAAAACTAATTGTATTTGTGGTTAGTTAGATTAGGTTCAGGTTTAGTGGTATTCACTTATAGCTAGATATTATTTGTGTAAAATTTGTAATTTTTTTGCATTCAACTGGTATTCTGTGTGAGATCTATTTAATGATAAAATGATGAAATTATTTTTGGTAAGTACTTTGTCCAACTCTAAGCAGAAAATAATAATTCCATTAGATTCTTGCATCAATTCGAACGCAGCTATAATGAAAGTGTCTGGTTCCCAGATTGTACGACTGGCAAACCATGAGCCGGAAAGATGTAAGGGACATCCTGAAAGCGCAGGCGTCAAACACGCAGCTGGAGTTTGATCAGCGGTCGAAATCGGTGGTAGTGCAGTTCGCGGAACAAGGTAGAGGCCAGAAAGCGTCGCACAGTATACACAGTATGCCGTGGCGCAACGTAGGACTTATTAGAAATATCTAGCGAACTGATCAACTGATCAATACTTTAGGCCGTGGTCTATTGGTCGCGCTACGATCTACTGAGGATGGCTGCCGCAGTACCAGTTGAAAGCTATGGTAGCAAAACTAATAGACCACGGCCTAACAGCCCGAAAAAACTCATTAATTACGATGCCAGAAGTGAAAGGCTATGGAAGTATATTATCTGGATTAATTTAAATGGCAGTCCTGTATATTATTTCTTTTCTACATTCTATTCAAGAAACAAAGTAAATTTTGTTCAGGTTTCCCCTATGCCTATGTCTTACTAAATAAAAAAATTTGGGTTTGGACCATTAAAGAAGTCTTAATAGTTCCGTGCTTTAATTGCCTTGTATTGTTTGTTCTTACTGGTGATTAATGAATAATCTAATGAAATTTCTGTACTAATTAGATGATCATGACCATATTTCATCATATTTTTTATATAATATAATTAGTCATTCAAAGAGAATCTATAATATATCACCTAAATGTTAAAATGTCATTACCGGGTCATGTGCATTTCCAAAATTTATCTATGAATTCTTATTTTTATGATTGAACTAAAAAAATTATTGTTCAATAACTTTTGTCTTTAAACTTTAACAAGTTTTTAAATTTGAATTTATATGACTTTAGATTTATGAAACGTCTAGTGAATCATGTTGAAAGTACATCATCTGAATACTGTTTACAAACATGGCGTTGAGGAAAGAGAACAAGGAGTTTATATGATTTTTGAACTTAGATTCGTTTTATGTAATGTACCGTGGAGAAATGAGTCATTACTGTGGAACAGAAACTTTGAAAGTTGTTTCTCGTCCTTGACGCTTTGAAATCGTTTCAGACCTGTATTTTAATAGTAAAGTAGATAAATAATATGCATAAAAAATTAAAAAGTCTAGTTTTATGTAAGAAATTTTAAGTATAAAAGTAACAGTTGAAAAGGAATCACTCAGATACTTTTAATAGGCCACCCGGCCACCCGGTATATAGTTTTAATATTTAACTTGCAAGTCCACTTGTTATTATCCTAATGTTAAGTTTGATGCCCATAAATTGAAAATATAAAAAGACCTCGCTGTAAAATTTTGATTAGTTAATTTTTTTATTCGGTTAATTATTCAATATTTTTGTAAATAATTATCAAGATTGGATTAATGTTTTCTAAAATTTTTGCATGATGTAAATCATGTTTTTGAATCAAAAAATAAAATTAACTAACCGGGTAAAAATACTTAACATCCAACATTTGAGAATGAGAAAATTTGAAAATGTACATACCTTTAAAATTGAAAATTATTTGAGGTTTTATAAAAATTTTGAGAAATCCTTTTTTTTTACATAAGTCTATAAGCATTCTCGGAAAGAGATCAAGCAATTAATTTAATTTATCTCGACAAATATTCTTCGATTTATATTATGCATTTTTGTATTATTTCAATCTTTTTTTTAACAATCAAAAACATTAAATTAACTAACCCGGCAAACATACCTAAACATTCAAGGTTTGAGAATGAGAAAATTTCAAAATTTGATTGCTTTTAAATTTGAAATTTATTTAATAAGTCTGTTAATTATAATTTCATTAAAAGAACCCACAAATATAAGATAGTTATCTAAATCTGAACTTGAAATCATTTCAGGTTTTTTTTTTACAGTAAAATAGATGAATAATATATATATAAAAAATAAAAAGTCTAGTTTTTAAGTAGTTTTAAGTAAAAAAGTAACAGTTAAAACGAAATCATGCTTCTAGTAGGCCACCCACTGTGCGCCACCCGGTGTATAGTTTAAATTGGCGACTTTTTAGAAAAAAGTCCAATTTTACCAAATGTTAATCTGATGTCCACAAATTGAAAATATGAAGAATCCTTACCGTAAAATTTTTTCCGTTAATTCAAGGAAAAAAATGAATTCTTTAAGTGATCACCAAAAATGCAGAAACAGAACAGGCTTATAGTTAATTTACTAATTTTTTTAAATATTTGCCGGGACCTTTCAAAATTGGCATTTGACATCCTAATTTAAATAAATTGCAATCTTGAAACTACTTAAATAGACTCTACTGAATATTTTAATAAAGTGTTAAACGCTAAAAAATCGTTAAATGCATTTGTAGAAATCGTTAAAGTTTAACATTTTAAAACCAAACAAAGTTTAGTTGATGTTATTACAATTTAGGGAGGCAACTGACTTAAAAAATACAATAAAAAATTTATAAATTTATTTTAACAAAAAATGCCATATGGTGTTGACTTTAGTGGTGACACTATATGAAATATTTTAGTATGTATAAAAAGAATGCATCTTACCGAAAAAAATGTATCAATTATCTCTGCTCAGGATAAGATTCTGTTTTTATTTTCTATTTTACACTCCAAATATGTTATTTTAGCCGTTAGCTAAAAATGAGCACTTAAGTGTTCGAGACGTACTGAACTATTAACGCCTCTTTATACAAGAGGATTTTACATTAAATTAGTATAGAGGAGGACAAGGCAGTTTCTTTTTCTTGAGTTTACCACTCCAATTTGAACTTTTGGAATTTGTATCGCATGTGTTTTATCTGGGTTAATTTAAAAAAAATCTTTGGTAAAATTCTTAATTGAGCCTTGAATATTTAACACACGGTCCTTTATAAAAAAATACCCAAATAAAATATATGTTCTGTTTTTTTCCATTATTATTTAAATCATTGATAAAAATATGAACATTCAAGTCCTGGTGTTCTGCCTGTTCGTTCCGCTGTTCGTCTCGTTCGCGTCTCAATTTCTAGATGTCTTTCGTTTTAGGGTTGAACGCGGCGCTATTCTACGAAAACCCGGACCCGCGGACGTATATCTCGTTGGTGCCCACCAGTGCGATCACCGGCGAGGGTATGGGCAATCTGCTCGCCCTTATCGTCGACTACTGCCAAACGAAACTGCCCAGACGCCTGATGTACTCGGACGAGCTGCAGGCGACCGTCCTTGAGGCAAAAAGGCATCACCATGTCTTCTCGCAGTCGCCGACATTTTTGTTGTTCTAGGTCAAGGCGATACCGGGGTTGGGCACCACGATCGACGTCATTTTGGTGAACGGTCGCTTGAGGGAGGGCGAGACCATGTTGGTGGCGGGCACGGACGGACCGATCGTCACTCAGATTCGGTCGCTGCTGATGCCGCAGCCGCTCAGAGAACTCAGAGTGAAGGTATGGCATTCTGGGGGTTAGAAGGTTTCTTTTCCTGCTAAATCTTATAATTTTCAAAATTTTTATAAAAGTAATTGCTCTACAAAACAAGTAATTTGAAAAACTTCCAATCTGAGTTGTTGAAAATCGACTGGTCGGTATTCATTCTCATAACTGATTGTTAGGTATTTTCAGTAGCCCTTGGATAACTGAAGAAATAATTAATGACAGTGATAAGTTACTGTATTTACATAAACTATGTTAATCATTTAAAAGAAACCACGAATAGAATACCTGCTCGGCAACGAAACATTACAACAATATTTTTAAGATTCTTGTGTACTTGCAAAAATTTTTCTTAACGCGAGGTAGAAACAAAACAGCTGCTGTTGATCAGTTCAACCTTCACTTTTTTGATAGCATAGGGAAATCATATCTGAAATATCAAGTTTCTTCCACCTTAGAGCTACCTATATATCTCCTATATCTGTCTGGTTATAAAAATGTTACATGCTTAACTTTAAAGTATACACATAACTCCGGGGCATTGACATATCTGGGAAGTTACTCTTTTTCCACTGGTGACTTCCCATTTTGCTTAAAGCATGCAACTCGTAATTACAAAGGTATTGCCTGCACGTTAAAGTTTTACAAAATCTTTGAAAAAGTCTTTTTTTTACATGAGTCTGTTGGCGCTCTCAGACAGAGATCAAGTAATTAGTTACTTTAACTCTACAAACTTGGTCTTCTCAATTCTTCGATTTATATTATGCATTTTTTCATTGTTTAAATCTTTTTTTTTTTCAGTTAAAAAAATAAAATTAATTAACCCGGTAAAAATACGTAAAGGTTTGAGAATGAGAAAATTTGAAGACTTGAATGCTTTTAAAATTGAAATTTATTTAACGTATCTGTTAATTATAAATTTCATTAAAACAACCAACAAATTTTGAAAAAGTCAATATAGGTTTCAAAAATGGCATAACTGCTGTTAAAAATATACGAGAGTTATCTAAATCTGAATTTGAAATCGTTTCAGGGTTTTAAAATCTTAGAAATTTTAAGTAATCAGAATGGAATCATAGTTCTAATACGCCATCTTCTGTGCGCCACCGGGCATATAGTTTTAATATTTAACTTGTCGGATCGAGAAAAAAGTCCAATTGTTATTATCCTATTGTAATTTTGATTATTATTCAACCTGAATGAATTAACATTTTTGCATTATTTAAATCGTGTTTTTCAATCAAAAGATTAAATTACCTAACCGCAAATATTGAAAAGTCTCTACGTAGTGTCAAAAAAGGTATAACTACTGTTAATGTAAGAGAGTTATCCAGAACTGAATTTAAAAGTAGAAAAAAAATATTAGGAATTTTTAGGCAATGTTACATCCATTTGAGTTTGCGGTAAACGATCTAAGGGGTCTCCGTGATATAAATTTTTATATAAATATTATAAAGGTTATATTATTAAGTGTCCGTTAATCCGAGGAAAAAAATGAATTCCTTAAGTGACCACCAAAAATGGAGAGACAGATCAGTCTAATAGTGAATTTACGAAACATTGAACCTGTCAAACTTAACATTTTTTTGAGACACCCTAATTTAAATAATATATGTAACTACTTAGACAGACTAGACTGAATATTTTAATAAAGTATTTTTCTTTAAATTCATCAAAAAAATCTTCATATCCACCTGTAGAAATCGTTGAAATTTATGTAAAGTTAACATGGTTTTAACATTTAAAAACCAAATAAAGTTTAGTGTATTTTATTACAATTCAGAGGGGTATGATACATGTTTTATCTAGCTTAATTTAAATAAATCTTTGGTAAAATTATTAATTGCTCCCCGAATATTGTAATCCACCGCCCTTTATAAAAAAATACCTAGATATATAAGATGACTTATCGCTAAGCTATTAACATATCTTGTAAGTTACTGGTTTTCCGCTGGTAACTTCCCATTTTGCTTAAAGCATGCAGCTCTTAACTCGTACTTCGTAATTAGAGAGGTATTCCCTTCATGTTCATGTTTTACAAAATCTTTGAAAAAGCCTTTTACATGCGTTTATTAGCGTTCTCGGATAGAGATCCAGCAATCAATTACATTCACTTTGCAAACATGGTCTTCTCAATTTACAACGCTCTTTTGACTTTATAAATGCTACTTAACAAATTATTTAGTTATGGTATTCGTTATAATATTTTTTAAGTAGTAGAACTTGATGGACAGTAACGGAACTGATAGTTTTAATTAGTATTATCTCAGAATCTAAGACAGATTTAAATGGGGTTCTTGAAGGAAACTTGTTAGGTCCTCTTTTTGTTTATTATTTTTTAATGACATTTTCTCACTTTTTGCTGGCAGTTATTTTTCTTTTTCTGACGATTCTGTTTTTTTACTTCTTTTTATATTATTCAGCAGTAGTTTCAACCCTAACATTGTTAGGATGGCAGCTTATTGCCAACGTTGAATGCGAATAAAACACAGTTTCTGGTGTTTTCTTGTAAAAACATAAATAAAAGTTTTTTAATCAGACTGGGTACCTGTCAGAGTGGTGTAGCTAAATTTGTAGGTGTTTATTTTGATTCTCACCTGACCTAGACAAATGACAAAGATGATATTTTAAAAAACTGTCTACCTATTGACTACGTGATGTGGAGAATAATTAAATTGGTTTCCATAGATCTTTTATGTTTATATTATATTGCATATGTTTCTTCATGAGTGAACTATAGTGTTGTGTGTTAGGGTAACTCATCACGTTCTGGCAAGCATTTAAATCGCAAAAGCAAATCCTTAGAACAATGTTCTCTAAACCTCGTTATTTTTATTGTTGTCAACTTTTTTTTTCAAGTCTTTATTTTTAACCACGTAAACAGTTAAGGTCTAATTGCGTAAAATTGTCCATTGTGGCCAATAACCTAGTGGTCAGTGAAAATGTTGCACTGTGTAAATTTTTTTAAATAACTGTAGTAGTAATAGTTTGGTGCGTCATGCTTTTCATAGCTTAAATGAGTTTTATGTGATATGTGATAATAGTTTACTATAATAATGGAAATGGAAATAAATTGTTTTTGAAATGAATTAAATTGTGTAAATCTGATAAATGTGGTTCTTTCTCATTTCGGCCGTAGAACGCGTACATGGAATACAAAGAGGTGAGGGCGGCGCAGGGCGTGAAAATCGCCGCCAAAGAGCTAGACAAGGCGATCGCTGGCCTGAACCTCTACGTCGCGCACAAGCCGGACGAGATCGATGTCCTGCGTGACGAGGTGTCGCGCGAATTGCGCAGCGCTCTCTCCAACATAAAGCTGCAGGAGAGGGGCGTATACGTGCAGGCGTCCACGCTCGGTTCGTTGGAAGCGTTGCTGGAATTTTTAAGGGTCAGCAAAATTCCGGTGAGGTTTCGGTGGTAGATTTTTCTTTTTCGCGGAAATTATTTCAATTGATTATAGAGATGCTCCAAATTTTTAAAATCTGAAAATGTCATAAATTTTTGAGATAACAAAAAAAATGTCACAGCTAACCGTAAACAAACTTGACAAACTATGTTACTTTGAAATCCATTTTATCATACTTAAACTGTATTGTGGAAGCTGTTGTTGTGTACAATTCAGAGCATTAGTGAATATTAAATAGTTAATTTAAATTAGGTCCATTTTTGTTTTGTGCTTCCGAACTAGCAAAATTATAAGCACCGCCCAATTTATATTGGAGAAACCTTAACAACTATTTTGTCTTAAAATGCTTCATTTCAGTGATGCTAGGTGTTGAAATATTGCGAAAAAAATCGTTTTTTTGCTATTTTAAAGTAAAACCTCTTCTGACTTTTATTTTTAAGCTCGGCAAGTAGTATTGCCACTTAAAAACAAATTTATACCCTAGATAAATTTATTTCTGTTTCACTGGTGAGACCCTTATAATTAATTTGAGTAATGAAAAAAGTGGTACGCCAATGATTTATCACCTTTTTGTTATAGATAGAAAATGATATTTCCAGTTTTTTCGCTATAACGAACTATATTCGAGAGAAAAAACATGTTCTTTGCATGTGGACCTAATTGCCGTATCTACCTATTTTTATTATTTAAATTAAATAAAATGGTCTCACCAACGCCACTGGTTAAACAAGAACGGGTTTAATATAATAATGCCTACCAAATGAAACCAAAATCTAGAAGACATTTTTTTAAAATATTTAAAAAGTTTATATGAATTCTTCTACTTTATTTTGTCTGCTGAATAGGCTGTTAAAGTGGTTTAGTCGATTTAAAAAAAAAAATTCTTGAAAAGCTATGATTACGATCTTAGGATAATCGCTATTGAATGCTTCTTAACACAGCAAATTGAGTTTTTTTTAACCCCATAAGTTCAACACTGGGATTAATCCAAGGTGCTAAGAAACGAAAGACTTTAGGTCCCCATTGGTTGGATTAAGTGTTTCTTAGCATATTCAAGTTTAACTTTTTTAACACTCTTTCAAACATCGCTATATTAAGTTAGTGAGATAAAGACAAATTAGATACCAAAGGGACGAATAAAAGGATGTTGGTCATTAGTTTTAGTTTGTTTCAGTATGCGGGCATCAGAATTGGACCAGTTGTTAAAAAAGACGTGATGAAAGCCTCCATAATGTTAGAGCACGATCCCCAGTAAGTATCTGTTATGTCTTGATTAAGGCGATTTTACATCAGTGAATATTACCCTGAGGTCGATGTTATACATTTCTGTTAAATACAAAACATTTAATGTTATATATAAAGTCAAGGAGTCCATTGTGTCGGGGATATTGCTTTTGCGGAGTTATTCTTAAAGAAGTATAAGGTCGCATGTTCTGTGAAGTTGTATTCAGCTGTATTCAAGACAAAGTCACTGATTTTAATTTGCCTTTAGTATTAATTAATAATTATTTCAAATGAATTTGACCGCAGAGTTGATTTTTATAAACCAGGTACGCGACGATCTTAGCATTCGATGTGAAGATCGAAAAGGACGCGCAGGAGTTGGCGGACAGCATGGGCGTGAAAATCTTCCAGGCGGATATCATTTACCACCTGTTCGATAAGTTCACCGCGTACCGTGAGGAGCTGAAGCAGCGCAAACGGGATGAGTTTAAACACATCGCTGTGTTCCCCTGCAAGCTGCGCGTGTTGCCCCAGTTCGTATTCAATTCGAGGGATCCAATCGTCTGCGGCGTCATGGTCGAGGCGGGTATCGTCAAGGAGGGAACACCCATCTGCGTACCTAGCAAAGAGGTGAGGTAGCGCGGGTCTCTCTCTCTCTCTCTCTCTCTCTCTCTCTCTCTCTCTCTCTCTCTCTCTCTCTCTCTCAATTAGTTACTTCAATTTCTTTCTTGAGTATTTATACGCTGAAATGAATAAAAACAAGGTTTTTAGATAGCTTCAGAAGTTACTAAATATCACTAACCAAAAAATGACCTAACCTCACTCTGTTCATTGGTTCATGAAAACGGCTCAAGCTCCTGCAATTTTTGTTGATAAATGGAATCATGAAAATTCTTCTGGATGAAACATACTTCTTTTATACTAACAACAAACTTCGTTAGTTTATACGTCTCAAAATGTCATTCAACAAACTCATTGTATTTAGAGGTTGTTTGGCTGTTTTTGTTGTTTTGCAAAAGTTGTTTCATAATAGTCCTTATTTAGTTGAAATGAAAGTGAAATGAAGTGAAAGTTGAAGTTGAAGTGCTCCTTTTACCCTTGCTGCTAATAATTTTTTGAGACTTATCATCACTGGAAGTAGGTGATGGGTTAGAACTTGGCAAGAAAATAAGAAAAATAGGGGGTTAAAAAGAATTTTAAAAGGAGCCAGAACACTTTAAACAGTTTTTCAATATGATAAACGAAAATTTTGATAAAGTACTGAGTCATGTGAAAGCTCTGATAGTGAAAATGTACACAAATTTTCGAGATGTACAGTTTTTGAATATTGGAATCCACTATTTTTTCATTCATTTAAAATTAGTTTGTTTGAATCTCGAATATTGACCAAACAAATGGCCTATTCCTCAACATCACTTTTTCTTGGGAAAGTTGTTTGCTACGAACGAACCTTTTCCTCGGCTGACCATAATGTCGAAGCGACACACCTTATTATTGTCATTCGCAGTTTTTGGACGTGGGCGTGGTGACCAGCATCGAGAGTAACCACAAACCGGTCGAGAACGCGCGCAAGGGGATGGAAATTTGCATTAAAATCGAGCCCATACCGGGCGAGGCGCCGAAAATGTTTGGCCGCCATTTTGACGAGACTGATATGTTGGTTAGTAAGGTAAGTGTAACGGGGAAACATTTTGACGGACTAGTTTTTGTTTTCTCTCTCATTTCGCGACGTGGGAAGCACAATTTTATTCATCTGAAACATCAGCGGCCATGTTTTTCGGAGAACTTTCAGCCGTTTTTCGAAAATCGCTCTAAATTCAACAACAACCCGATCTAAACTGGTGTGGCAATGGCGTAATGGGGATTGCTGACTTGATCTTGCTCGTTTTTATAAATTTTATAATGAGGAGTTCTCGTTTTTTGATTACTTTATTTACCAATATATTTTTACACATTATCATTTGGTGATGAAACAATAATACAAATTGAAAAGGTTAGAAAAAAATTTAAGTCTTTCTAACGTTTTCAAAAAAGATTTAAAATTTACTCCTTTTTCCTTTTAAATTTTTTTAAGGGGTTTGCATGCCGAAATGAACTTTTTTGGCAAATAAATTAAAGGAAAGTCGCAAAATGAGTGGAAATGTCGAAATTATAAAAAAAAAACTGATCGCTAAAGTTTGTGACTTCGGAGATAGATATAACACGGCGAAAATATCATTTTTTGTCGATTAAAGCTTTCTCTGACTCTTAAGGAAAATCCAGAATAGTCAAAAAAATCTCTTCTAAAAGATTTAAAAGTTTAAGTTCCTATAAAGACTCTAGCTCTAAAAGCTTCTCTAGAATCTGTCATTGGCCCATCATTTTGGTAGGACACGAATTTAAATAAATGTAACACACTAAATCACCTGATCTGGAATTAGTAAAATAAAAATAGGTTAAAGTAAACAAACCAATGCATTCGAATGACAAACGCAAACGCACGAGATCTCATCTCAAAAATCTGTTTAATTTCTTTTGTATGTGAACCAAAAGTGGAACCGATTTTCATCTGTAAACGTTTACTGTCGACGGGTTGGAGGTGTAAGCACCGACCACTAGGTACCGGCCATTACCATAAATTGCTTCGATCGGCCCAGTTTTTGCGAAACACGTGGGATGCCTTCTATATCTGGCGACACCGATAAGCGTCAATCAGTTGGTTACCTTAGCACGAGACGATTGTCGATTTCTATGGGAGTTTTCGTGATTGTAAAGTTCTAGAGCAGTTCTCGGATTGTTCTCTGACCGTGCAAAACTAAGTGCGCATTGGATTGATCTATTTTTGAAGTATCAGCGAATTGGTAAAAACCCAAACGTTCTTGTACGAGTTCTACCTTTTATATTTCGAGATTTGTAGTAAAAAACGATAAGCTACCAACCAATATGAGTTTATTGCTTCTCAAAATATTCACGCTGATGATCAATAGACTTTTGCATTCATTGCATTATCAAAGCACTTTTTCCACATCGAGTCGGGCACCTAAAAAACATGCTTTTTAAACGCATCAATCGCTTCTTCTGGTGTCAAAAATCGTTGCCCACCTAATTTATTCTTAATGTATGGGAATAAACAGAAGCCATTAGTTGCTAAATGAGGACTATATGGTGGATGTGATTCATAAAATCAACGTTTTTAATGGTCAAAGAGTTGTTTGTTTGCACTGATCGGGGAGAGCTAGCATTGTCGTCGTGGAGAGCTAGCATTGTCGTCGTGGAGAGTGATTCGTCTTCGGCAGTTGGTTTTTCTAATTTCTTCGAAAACTTTCTGCAAACAAATGGGTGTGTACCATTCAGAATTTATTGTTTTACATTTTTGCCAAAGAAACAGTTGCAACGTGGCCAGTTTTCCTGAAAAAAACAGGCTACCATTTGATTCGAGGTGCTTCGCGCACGAACAACTTTTGTGGGCATTGTCTCATTCGCACAGTCGACTGCAGCTTACTTTCAGGTTCATATGCATAGATCCATGATTCATCACCTGTCACGATATCATAGACGTGTTTGAAAGCGCCGCGATCTTATTTTTTTAGCATTTCCTTCTACCAATCAACATGACCTTTATTTTGAGCTGATGTCAAATTGTGTAGAATCCAACACGAACAAATCTTTTTAGAGGCAAAATGTTCATGCACAATTGTATGTATCCTGGTCCCACTAATGCTCAAAGATACCTCAATCTCATGGTAAGTCACATGACGATCCTGCAAAATCAGTTTCCGGACTGCTTCAATGTTTTCTTGGACAACCACCGATTTTCGACAACCTTCACGAAATTCATCCTTAAGAAAACTGCTACGATCACGACTGAAGTCCGAAAACTCGTGGTAAATAGTTGTCCTAGAGTTAATCCACGTCTGAAGTTGTAAAAAAAATATTGCACGAAAATGCTCGCTATTAAGTTCCATTTTTAACCCTCACATTTTTTTTGTTTATCACAAAAAAGACAAACAACACTCGTTCGCCAAAACCTAACTGAGTAAACCTAACCTCAAAATGTCAAACTTCCATATAACTTCCGTATAAAAACGTTAGTCGCCAGATGGCAGGACTAGTTTAAGAAAATCCCGAAATATAAAAGGCAGCCCTCGTAGTTTCGTAAACTTTGGTGCATAACCCATTGTTGAACAGAAAATGCTCTCAAATCTTTGTTTTGATAATTACAAAGATTCTGCTAAAATAATGTCTAAAAGAGCCTCAACCAAAATCTTTGTTATTTGTTACAAAATGCCATGAAAGGTTAACAATGGAAAAGGAAAACACAAAGCACATAGTCGAACAATCGATAAGCATACACATGATATTATTTATTATGTGTCAAAAATTACCTTAGAACGGTATAGTATGTCTCAAAGTATATCGGCTGAACTGGCAATTATCGAAATAAACTGTCGACGGCAACAAAACACCTGACCAGTCGTATTGTAGGACAGCATCTCAGACGGACTTTAAGATGTTTTCAAAATAAAAAGATTAAATAAATATTCATTCATTAATATTAATTATAATAGGTTCTATGTTATTTATTTAATTTTTAAAATGTGCTCTACGGCATTTTCCAGCCCTCAACAGTCTTACTTAAAGCCGGAGTAGCATTTAGGGTCACAAATGTTCTATGAGAGAAAGCTGTATGTATATTGTTTAATAATAAAATATGAAGTTAACCCTTCTAATACTATTTCTGGTAAATATAAATAAATAAAAACCCCATATTTGAATTACGCAGGTTCGAGACAGATCTGGACCGATACACGATAAATGGTCATGACTGTAATAATGCTATCTGTTCGTATGGATGTTTTGGGCCAATAAATCAAACCGGTCCGGGGTAGTAGTAAGGAAATTGAAGCACAAAATGTATGGAAACATTCTGTTGTATTGCGTACTGTATAATTGTAATTATATAAATAATAAGTGCATATTAAATATAATTAGTGGTCAGAATAGTTTGAATCTGTGCTATCGTTATCATCTAACGATATAATTATAATTTAAAATTATTGTCCACTTCAAGTATATGACGTATTGTCCACTTCAAGTATATGAATAACACATTCTCTCCAACTGCTTTCTGGTATTAACTCAAACTGAGTTTTAATTATATCATTTACATGGGAGAGCATTTTTGGGTTTATATTATTCTGTCTAACTTTGTTTTTTAATTCGGCCCATAACATTTCTATAGGATTCAAGTCGCAGTGATAAGGTGGTAATCTAAGATTTGTGTCAAAACGAGTCTCGTCTAATTTGAGTTAAACATTTTTTTCTACTCCCGTCTGTAAAATACCGAATTACCCACCGATCTAGCATGCGGGAAGCGTCACTTTACCACGTCAGTTTCGTTTCCCACGGATCCGAGTCACGTCGGACATTTCCGATATTTTACCGCACGGGTTTGGGAGCAATCGGATGTTTTCAGAGGTATTTCCCACGCCTTGAATTTTGACGTTTGTCAATTCTGAAGGTCATGTCAGTGAATGTATTCGTGTTTTTTGGCGAAAATCTACCCAAAAACTAACGATCATAGAAAAAGTATAGTATGTCACACGTTCGGTAAACTTTTTATTAAACACTTGCTCGGCTACGTTCCGCTCGTGTCAAATAAACTCGTGAGTCAAATGCCGTTTACCGCACTTGTTGCATAATATACTATTGTTTCCATTCCATCAATCGTTGGGTCTCTTTAATGCAACTACGCTGGTCAATATTTTTAAATCTAAATATTTCACCACTGCCAGTAAATCGACCATTTTCTTTTAATTTCTGTTGCAATGTTTCAAGTGACGGAATCTGATTACACTCTCACATGCACTTCCCAGCGAATGCATCCTGCATCAACATTCCTAAACACCTTCATTGAGCCTTTGTCATATCGTTTTTTCCTTTCTAGTGAATCATTATCAAGGAATCCACGTAACGTTGACTCCACTGTCCTCCAAATGACGTTTTAAAAGACCTGCATACCAATTTTGCATTAAAACATTCGCGGACTGTTATAGTAAACGATTACTGATGTGTTTTCAACCAGTTTTTTAAAATTTAAATACTTAGAAACAGTATGTGCAATTGCAAGAACCTCACGCGTGGTCCCTTGTCGACATAGTCGCAAATTCCAGCCGCCCTCCTACCGAAACTGGGTCAGCATTTCGACTCGGTTTCATTCTGTTCTGAGTCGATCAATACGGATTAATGCGTAATAGAATTTTTCCCCCGTTCGATACGTCCCGCATTGCATCAGCGAAATGGTGCAGCGGGATCATTACGAGTGTTCACTATGACCCATTTGTATAAAGCTTATTAAAAAGATAACCAAAGTTTCGCTAGAAAAACTTTTAACATCAGTTTTTCAAAACTCCCCAATCTTGGTGGTTAAACGATTTGTCTAGCAACAACTCAATTTTATACCTTTTATATGTAGGTCAACACAGAAAAAGAATTTCTCAGTTCGAAAAATGGTTTAGCAGAAAAAAGTCTCCGCCTCCATATATGATTCTTCTATTTAAGATTACGTATTTTAAATTTTGATTTTTTGAAATGATTATAGAAGTTATTCAGAACCAGAATACGTTAAAGAGATGATCCTTTGTTGAAGAAGAAGTATTTCAAAGGAATCTTATGTTAAAACAGATTTAT